TGTCTCTGTTAACATTTTATGTATAACATCCAAGAATGCTCTACCTTATCATATTTTAAAGAAACTTTAAGTAAATATTTATTTCAATACATGAAAAATATAATTTCGATAATTTAGACATCAATATCGAAATCAATTTCCTTGGTAATATATTCTATATATAAATTAAACAAAATTAGGTTTATATTATAAAAATAAAAATTACCACTAAAAAGTACATATCAATACTGTATGTTTACTTACTACTACTTTTTAAATTCATCTCAATATCAAGTTCGAGTTCTATTGTAAGGTAATCTAAAAAAAAGTATCACAAAATTTTATTAAATTAAAATATGAAAGTTAATATGTTATTGAAAAAGTAATTATTACCGTTATTTTCATATAACTTTTTTCTTTTAATACTTTGACCTAAATATATTTTTAATTAAAAAAAATAATGATTTACTAAAGTTTATCAATATTTGCAAATAACGAATGTCATACCATTGTCATTATTATCTTCAATTAAATCATCTTTAAATCTCCTTTTGACTTTTTCTAAATTAATAGATTGACTTCTTGAACTCATCAAAGACATTGCAGGATTAATCATGGCGCTTAAAGGTCTGCTCTTATAAATGGCACTCGGATTATTTATTGTTACAGGCCCAATATCTGATGATTTTATTATTTCGGTTGGATTATTATTATTGTAATTTCTACATTCCTCCTCATGTATTTTATCGAGTTTATCATATATATTAGTAGCAGATGGTCTTTTTTCCAGATCAGTATGCCAGCATTCTTCCATTAATTTAATATAGCCTTTAGGTGCATTTGTTACAATAGGTGGTCGTAAACCATCACAAATATCAATAATAAGTTCTGTATCATGATTTCGATCCCAAAAAGGTCTTCTACCTGTTATTAATTCCCACATAATCATTCCAAAACTATATATATCTGAAGCTTTAGTATATTTTTGTCCTTGAAAAATCTCTGGTGCCATATAAGGAATAATGCCATAATTCTCATTATCATCCCCAGTTTCAGTTGCAGATTTACTTATACCAAGATCACCTATCGTTATCACACTAGCAATATAATTGCATGTATCAACAAAGATATTTCCACTATGAAGATCCCTGTGGACAATATTCGCTCCATGTATTCGAATAAGTCCATTTACCATATTTTTTAAGTAAATTAGCTTTAATTTCCAGTTAAGATAGTGAAATTTTTTAGTGATGCAATTTATCAAATCACCTGAACGATAATATGGCATGATAATCATTATATCTTGAGAATTGGGATCTTGAGTAATCCCAAAATACTTGCCAATATTTTTATATCCATTATTGTTTTTAAGTTTTGAAGAATAATCGTAAAATACCTTAAGCTAATATAAAAAAATCCTTTTTAATCAATTTGTTTACTTTATACAGTACTAAGATTTATCATAATATATATATTTACCTCATTCAGCTCTTTAGATGTGGTGTTATTAGAATTATTTAGCTTTTTGAGAACGACTGTATAATTTTGTTTACGAATATCTCTTGTATTGCTATAATTAATAACTGGGCCATCAATCCAAGTAGCCTTATATATTTTACTAAAACCTCCTTCAGCAATAAATTCTACATTCGTGAATTGATCATAAGGAACAAACTCCATTTTCCCATGATTTTTAACAAGATTAATTTGCGTATTTCTAATAAAATCATCAATAGTATTGTTTCCACTTGGGTTGTACTTATATACCATCTTAATTTTGTAACAAACATGACATATCTGATGACTTTCATCCAAAGGTTTCCTTCTTTTATTACATTTGGTACATTTCTTTTTTTTGTATTTTGATTTAACACTTCTTTTTTCTGGTTGAATCAAAATTTTATTATTTGATAATAAATAGTTGATTGGTTGTTCCATGCTTTATTATTTTTTTTTTTAAAAAAAAAAAAGAATTTAATTTTTAAATTTCTTAAAGAAAATTGTGGTCTATTATATACTTGTTTGATAATAAATAGTTGATTGGTTGTTCCATGATTTTTTATTTTTTATTTTTTTTTTTTTTTTTTTTAAAAAAAAAAAAGAATTTAATTTTTAAATTTCTTAAAGAAAATTGTTGTCTATTATATACGATTTTTAAATTCAATAGAATTCAATTTTCGAACTTTTATGCAATTCCTAGAAGTTTCTAATGAAGAATTATAATTTTCTTAGAAAGAATTCCATAACGTACAAAGAATTCTATAGTATTGCATGTAATGATGTGCAATAATATGCCGACTATATTTTTATTTAAGAATAATATTGTGCGATATTTTTTTGCACTTTATAGAAGCTCCTAATGGAGAATTATAATTTTCTCGGAAAGAATTCCATATCATGCAAAGAATTCTATAGTATTGCATATAGTGATGTGCAAATACAGTCAAACCTCTATGTACCGATCCCCGGTGTACCGATAATTTCCTGTACTGATAATCCCGTTTCACGTATAATAAAAAAACCGCGTTGTATCGATATTCGGATATTGTAATTTTGTGATATAGTAACATATATTAAGATGTACCGATATTTTAGCTACACTCTTGCGGTTTACTTTGCCGAAATTCGGTTATAATGGCCCATTAATCGAGTGGCATTTGCTCCGCATTGTGAGTTACTCGTAATATATCCAATGTATTGATATTTTTTTCCAACGGTATCAAGATCCGACGTGTCCGTTAATCTTGATAATAGACGTGATTTACAATATGAACCTCATCGGTACATAGAAGTTTTACTGTAATATGACTGATTATATTTTAATTTTGCACTTTATTCAAATAAATAGTTAGTGTTAGAAACCATAATGAAGATAATTTAAATATTGTAAATATTGTTTATAATTGTGCAAATAAAAACGAAAAAAAAAATTCTTGGTTTTGTTTTTTATTCGTTATTTTCAAATTATTAATAAGATTTAAGATTCAAACTCAAGTAAATCTATATAACTAAAAAAAATACATAAAAAAATCGTAACTTTTAGACTAGAATGTATAAATAGTTTTGAATATATTTTGCGCCTAATCTACTCCATGTTAACGTAAGTTTTTTTTTTTGCTCTATTTTCTAGACTGTAAGTTTTCCGAATTGCAGATCATCAATATTGTTACCGAAATTAGATCATTTGTTGTTGATTATTAATTTTAATTATATAATTAATAGAGAATTATATTCTTTTTGGTTAGATCATCGAGGTGGTCAGATCGGTTATATTTTTTTATAGTGTAATGCCGTAACTTACCTAGTAAATTTATTAATTGTGGGGCGCAGTATTACATTTAAAATTAGTATATAAATTTATAGTAGTTTAAAATTGTATTTTAATTGGTCCGGAATGACATTAATAAACTACCAACCAATAGGATATTGGTCCGCAATGACGTTAAACTATGAAACAAAAGAAGAAAGGATTAACGTCCGCGATGGCAAAAGTATCATTCTTGATAGACATGAGGTATTGTTCTTGATAGACTTTACTGTAAAATATATTATGCATATCAAGATTCTCCTGCGATGACGTTAAACTAATGAATGAAAAGTCAAGTGACTAAATATCAGGTGACTAATTTGTAGATCATGACGACATGACGTTAAGGATAATTAATTATCAAGAATATGACTAATTTTGCAGATCAAAGTGTAAAAATGAAATTCGCAGATCAAAATGGAAAGTTGGTGAAAATAATGGACATTGTTTGGATAAAGTAGAACAACATTTTTGTTGATGGAAAATTATTTATTTTTGAGCAACACTTTTTAACACTTAAAAATTTCGAGACACAGAGGGATAATCCAGTGGATATTACCATATACGAATAAACATAAATAGGGGACGATTTTGACTTTAAAATTAGGTTGCGAATTTGTTTGGAAAATAAGGATAAAAGTTTAACCATTATTTAATATTATTAAACCAAGCATATTATTGTATTTATTTTTATTATTAATAAAGTTAATAAAGTATTATTTTGTCTATGGTTGCAACGTGACTTATCACGGGCAAAGGTATTACAATAGACTACATTTTTTTTACGTAATTTTTTTTTATAAATATTTTTTCCCTTATGACTTTTTTTTTTGTTATTTGATTTTTTTTATTTAATTTTTATTTATAACACTTTTTTGCTATTTGATTTAATTTTTTTTTTATCACTTTTTTTGTTATTTGATTTTTTTTATAATACTTTTTGACTTTTTTCGATTATAAAAATTATTTGATAAACGTTATTATTATTTTTTTTTTAATAAAAATACTCTTTTTTTTTTTTACATAAATTTTTTTATAAAATAATAAGAAATACTTATAAAAATTTATAATTAATTATAAAAATATTTGTTTTTATTGATAATTATTTTTTTACAATTCCTTAATTAATACAAATTTCATTCTACACTTAAACGTCAAATCTTTAATATAATTAACTACATTATTGTAAATATAATCGGGAATTGCTAAACGTCGCATGGGCAATTGTCCCTGGGTTTTTTTAAATATGTTACATGATGTACAATATATAAAGAGTAAAATTTATTAAAAATTTTATCGCAAAGATCTACTTTAAAAAAAAAATATTTTTTTTTGCAAACATATTTATCCAAAATAATCTTGTCTAATAAAATTTTATTTGTAAATTTAAAAAAAAAGATGCTAATAAAAAATGAAATAACAATGGAGTAATGAGATAATAGAAGATGAAAGAGAGTTAAAAAGAGTAATGAGAAGTGATAGGAAGCAAAAAGGAGAAATTGGACATGATGGAAGATGAAGAGGAGTAATAGAAATATGAAAAGAAGTGATGGGAGACAAAAAGAAGTGATGGGAAGATGAAAAGATGTAATAGAAAATAATGGGAGACGAATAATGAGAAGTAATATGAGGTGGAAAATGATGAGATAAAAAAATAAAAAAATGATCATGATAGGAGGTTGGGGAGCAAAAGATAATGATAGGAAACCAAGTAAAAAAAACCATAAAGTAAAAAAAATGAGGTTAGTAAGAAACGAAATATAAGATGGAAACAAAATAAAAATAAATAAATAAAAAATAAAAAACATACCTTTATTAATTGTAGAACCGAAAGAACTAAAAGATCTAAAAATATGAAATAAAATTAGTGAATAACGAAATATGAAACAGAAACAAAATAAAAAAAAATAAAAATAAGAAACAGAAACGAAATTTAAAGTGAAAAACAACTGAACCTTAATTGCAGAACCGGAAGGACTAAAAGACCTAAAAATAATGAAATAGAGTTATTAAGAAACAAAGTGTAAGGATGTAAGTTAGAAATAAAATAAAAAGAAAAAAAGAAAAATACCTCGAGACCGAAATAACTGAGAAAACGAACCTTGAACCTATAATGAAAATAAGATTTGATAAACAAATAAATATGACAAATTCAGGCGATGTTTACCAATTCCCAATATAATTTATATCATTCTAATATTATAATTATAACTTAGTACATATTATTTTGTTAATTAATTATTACCTATATTAAATTCCTAATTATAAATAAAAACTACTGTAACCATCTTTAATTTATTTAGTAGTATTACATTATAATACTAAAATTTTCTATTTAAGTGCGGAGTAACGGGTGACTGCTAGTATTTACTGCATTAAGTATTAATTTATTAATAATAATGACAATATTACTACATATTTAAAAATCATTTACAAGTTGTCTTGCTATTATCAATTCAACATGGAATACTGTAATTGCCTCTTTTTTATCACATAATAATCTAACATATACAATTCCTTCAGTACTGCATTTTTATTTTATTTTTATTATAAAATAATTAAGTTAATTAAATCTTTTAAGAAAATATTTTTCTTTTTTTTAAAAAAAAAAAAGTTCATGCGACATGCGACGTTAATTTTTTCAATTCGGCATAATTTGATGTTTTTTTTTCATAGTCGAATTTTGCATCGAATAAATCAAGTCCTTAGAATACATTATAATCAACATCACTGTTATATACTCGGATTTTATTTTTAATATTTTAATCAATAGTTTGAGGGAAATTAGAGATTTTCCAAGAAAAATGGAGGGATCGACTTGAACTTTCCATACTCGTTATTAATAAATTTGAAAAAAAATAATGGGAATAACCAAGTAACCGAAGAATTTAGATTGTAGCTTAATAAAGCATAAATACTAGCATATCTTCAAGAATTTATAACAGGTATTTAACTATTTATTATTTAACCCCTGAATGTTGATCTTTCGTGTGAAACATTATTTGCATCACAATCGGCGCATATCGCACAAATCGTCCGGTCGGCGTTTGTTTTGTATTTTTTTCCCTTTCCCTTTCTCTCTTTTTTTTAAGAAAAAAAATTATTTTAACATTGTATTAAATAATATTCAAAATTTACCCTTTTAAAAAAATTTTAATTATAAAAGATTTATTCTAAACATTTTTTTATATAAAGAATGTCAAAACACAATGAAGATGTTCTTTTCTTAATATTTGAAGAATTAAAAGATGATTCGAAATCACTCTTTTCATGCCTAATGGTCAATAGACTTTGGTGTAAAACTGTGATTCCAATTTTATGGAAGAATCCTTGGTGTTATGATATCAATTATAGTAATAAAAATTATTTATTTGCAATTATTGTTTCTTATTTATCCGATGATATTAAAGAATCTTTAACAAGACAAGGAATTCAATTACCGACTGTTTCATTTCAACTACTTTTGTTCGATTATTTATCTTATTGTAAAAGTATTGATGTAAATACTATAAGTATTATAACTTCTATTGGAACACCTTTAACTTATAATCGATTTATTTTAGAACAAGAATGTTTTATCCTCTTTATGAAGAAATTTTCAGAGTTAAAGTATTTGGATATGAGATTAATTGAACATCAAATATTTTATTTTCCAGAAGCTAAGTTTCGTTTTGAATCACTTTGTGAATTATTGTGTGACACTTCAATAGATTCTTCATATTTTTATGGATTGGCATGGTTATGTCATTGCATACAGAAACTCATCATTGATAATGTAGAACCAAAAAATTATCATGGGATTGCTAAATTAATTGGAGTTCAGAAAAATTTAAAGTATTTTGAATGGAGAGATGATCATGATTTATATTTTCCTGGTCCAAATCAAGATTCTTACAAAGAGATTTTTCTTGCATTAGAAAATAAGGGTCATACTATCAATCATTTAAAATTATTCTTTTTATATAGGTATGATTCGTTACAAATGGTACTCCCAAAACTTCATAAATTAAAATCATTAGCAATTAATATTGAGCCTTTTAGTATAGATCAATTAAAATTATGCGTTTATCGTGATCTTGAGATTTTTAGAATAGGTTATTATGAATTAAAAGAAGCTTCTATTATAATTGAAAATAGTGGAGGTCATTTAAAGAAAATTTTTTTAGAATCTTCTTATGAACTTGATGATGTTATAGATGATTTTAATGATGATTCCCTCATTTTTATTCGTAAGGTTTATGAAAATTGTCTTTCAATTGAATATTTATCTCTTGTATTTCCACCATCAAAACATCATTTTAATGAATTTGAAAGATTATTAAAAACTTGTAAAAATTTGAAATCATTATTATTAGTTATAAGATATATGGATGATGTAGAAACTGATGAATTACTTTTAAAAAATGGTGAAGATTTATTAAGATTATTAATTAGATCAGCTCCAATTAATTTAAGAGAGATTAGATTTCTTTATGATGTTAAATTTTCTTTAAAAGCATTAGAAGAATTTTTTGAAAAATGGAGAGGTAGACCTTCACTTACTATATTTACTTATAGGTCTATTTATAAAGAAAGTTCATATAAAGAGTTGATTAATACATATAAAAATGATGGAATAATTAAAGATTTTAAATGTGAATCCTTTTATACTGTATTAGGTACGGATTTTAATATGTGAGTGAATATTATGTTTTCATATTTTTTTTTTTTTTTATAATGTTGGAAATTTTATAATTATATTGGGGAATAATCATTTTATAATAATGATGTATTTCATTTAACTATTAAATACGAAATATAATAAATGAAAATAAACTTTATAAGTGATGCGATTAATTTTCACATGTACAGTAGCTTATTAATAAACGGACGTTGGTAATGATATTGGTAATGATGTAGCGTATCATACATACATACCATTGTAAATAATAAGTAAACCCTAATTCAAAAGAATTTTGATAGATATCGCATGATATGAGAAACAATTAAATATTAAAAAATCATCATTTATCAGGACGGAAATAATATTGAATGAGCTCGTTTTAGCAACAATCAAACACTAAATATTAGACGCTATACTTCGTTTAAATAACTTTGCTAAAATGTGATTGCATCTCAGTCTATTGATTTTATATACTTTCAGTTCATTTAGCACGTATCTGTCAATATAACGATATGTCATCATCAATACAAAATCAAAAATAATCATTGAATTGTTAAAATAACTATTGCTTAAAATATTACAAAGCATAAAATGAGTTGATTATTTGATTTTTATTGGGTAAATAAATGATGTTTATTTAAAATATACTATTTAATAAATTATTTCATATTTACAGAATGTACATACTTAATAATGCTTTAAAAATATTTTTAAAAAAATAAAAATTTTAACCTAAAAATTTCAGATAATTTACTGCCAATATAAGTAATATCCCACTATATACGAAATTAAATTCAAAGATTAATATCAAAATCATTTTCTATGGTAATATATTCTATATATAAATTAAAAATTAATTAGAATCTGATAAATTTACCGTGTATATTATACGACAAATTTCCTACCATTATTATTAATTTTCACATCAATGTCAAATTCGAATTCTTTTGAAAGGTAATCTAAAGACAACATATTAAATTTAATTAAATAATAATTATGAAATCAATACATTCTTGAATTAAAAAATGTTATTACCATTATTTTCATTTTCAACCAATTTTTTTCTCTTAATGAAATGGCCTAAATATATTTTTAAGTTAATACAGTAATTAATCTTTTAAGCCCTATTGGTTTTATTATCAAGAAAGTTAATTTATATCATACCATTATCAATTAAATCATTTTCATATTTTCTTTTACCTTCAAAAGGAATAATATACAGTCATTAATATTTACATAAATTGACAAAAAATAAATTATAAGTAATTACCAGTAGGTCCCATGTTATTTTTCTGATAATAATTAAATTGTTCTAAATAATTAATCAGGGTAAATACTGTGTATAGCATATTTAAACAAAACCTTATATTTATTTTACCTAAATTAATAGATTGACTTCTTGAAATCCTTAAAGACATTGCAGATTGAATCATGTCGCTTAAATTTCTGCTCTTATAAATTGCATTTGGATTATTTTTTGGTACAGGTCCGATATCTGATGATTTAATAATTTCAGTTGAATCATTATTATTGTAATTTTCCAACTCCTCCTCAATTATTTCATTAACCCTGTCAAATATATCAGTAGCCAATGGTCTTCTTTTTGGATCGGAATGCCAACATTCTTTCATTAATTCAATATAACCGTTAGGTGCATTTGTTACAATAGGTGGTCGTAAACCATCAAAAATTTCAATAATAAGTTCTGTATCATGATTTCGATCCCAAAAAGGTCTTCTACCTGTCATTAACTCCCACATAATCATTCCAAAACTATATATATCTGAAGCTTTAGTATACTCTCGTCCTTGAAAAATCTCCGGAGCCATATATGGAATAATTCCATAATTTTCATTACATGAAGAATCAGTTGCAGATTTACTTATACCCAAATCACCTATTGTTACTTCATCAATAAAATAAATATCTTTTTTACCAAAAAATATATTTCCACTGTGGAAATCCCTATGGATAATATTTACATCATGTATGTTGGCGAGTCCAACTATTATTTTTTTCAAGTTCACCAACTTCCCATGCCAATTAATATTATAAAAACCATTAGTTATATAATTGATCAAATCACCTGAATCATAATATGGCATGATAATCATTATATCTTGAGAATTAGGATCCTGAGTAATTCCGAAATATTTGCATACATAATTTCCACCATCATACTTGTACCACTTCCTTTTGAATTTTGCGGAATAATTATAAAATACCTTGAGCTAGAATAAAAAAAAATTTAGTGATAATTTATTTATTTAAAAATTGGGCTTCATTGATTTAAATAGAATATTTACCTCGTTCAACTCTTTAGATGTGATATAATTAGAATTATTGAGTTTTTTGAGAACAACTGTATAATTACCCTCACGAGCGCTACTTTTAATATTCCAACTTAAAAGTGGACCATTAATCCAAGTGGCTTTATAAACTTTACTAAATCCTCCTTCAGCAAGAAATTCTATGTCTTTAAATTGGTCATAAGAAACAAATTCCATTTTTCCTGCGCCTTTAACTAGACTAATTTGAGTATTTCTGATAAAATCATCAATAACTTTGTTTCTACTTTTTTTCATCTCATATGACATTACTTTGTAACAAACATGACAAATCTGGTGACTTTTATCTAAAGGTTTTCTTCTTTTATTGCATTCATTACATTTACTTTTTTTGTATTTTGATTTAATAATGTCTTGTGTAGGTTGAATTGAAGAGGTATTATTTGATAATTTAAAATCAATTTTACATTTATAATTGGTTGTTCGTTCCATTTTTTTTTTTTTAAAAAAAAATTAACTGTTTAGTTTGAGTCAAGAAAACTGTCTATATATATACATTTTTTTAAAAATTTAATTGTTATACAAGGAATTCTTTTTTCGAATTCTATTATTCTATACATAATTCCTAATAAATTTCTAGAAATCTTTATTAGAAATATGATTTTCTAAGAAATCTTCTGTGACATGCAAAGAATTATTATTTCTACCGATAGTGACATTCTAGAAGCTTCTGATTACTTAATTAGAATTTGGAAGTGGAATTGGAAGAATTGGAACTTCCAATCTTCCAGTATTACGTGATACTAGAGGTTGGAACCGGTTATAAATTCAATATATGAAACCGGGTTTAACCGAAAATATAACCGGTTATTCCGAACTTATTTATAATCACGTGCTATAGAGATAATATAACCGGTTTTTGAAAATAAAACCGGTTCCAACCTCTACGTGATACCGCATGTAACATACAATTAATTGTAGATCTGTTTATAGCATTCTAATTCATTCTATATTTTGTTATGCATCCTTGTTTGAAACTACAAAAAATAAAAATCAAGTTCTTTGTTACTTAAATTATAAATAGTCAAATGATTATAACCTACCTACCTATACTATATAATAATTATTTTTGTATGTAACTGCAACGCGTTTAAACTAATCTGTATAAATATTTTTGTATTGTGTTACATAGTCACGTTATTCACCATTATCGGGTTATATATGTAATCAAATATCAAATAACTTACGGATTTTACTTGCAAAGCAACGGTTAACAGCTAGTATATTATTTATGTTACACATATAAAAACTAATAAATAACTTTCATAAATATGTACTGAACTTTTACTTAAAGATGCAAAATTGTTACGCATATTTTAGAATTTAATAAATAACAAGCTAAATGAATAAATATTAATTACTTTAATTATTACGTTATGACATTCCGTTTTAGGGATGGTAACGGTCACGGTTTTTAACCGGTCATGACCGGTTATGACCGTGACCGATATCGGTCGGTCAAAGGCTTCTGACCGACCGTTTAACCGACCGTGACCGACCGTTGCCATCCCTATTCCGTCCTAGTCAACTGAGATAAACCAATTAACCTATTGACTTAAATTTTCTGTGCAAAGGTCTGATACACTGCATTTTGATTTTTCAGTAAGTGAACCATGGGTATGCTGATAATGATCGGAAAACTCTATATACAGTATATTAATATTAGTGTGTTAACAAATGATACTTATTAATACAAATAAAAAAAATGTATGACCTGACGAATTAATTTATCAAGCATATATTTCCTTTGTATATTCATATAATCTTTATGTTGAGGTGGATTCTGTAGTTCTACTTTAAATAATTAGATTATTCTGACCCTGTCCTAATATATAATTCAAAACAATTAAGTGGACCTAAACTTCCAAATTTTTGGTGTGTTTTCTATAATGACAACTACAAAAAAATTGTAATAAGCATAATGACAATGTAACTTCATTTAATTGACAAATTGTATTTATGTATATAGGAAAAATTATATTATGTAATAGAATTAATAGATTACTAGTTACACTTTTTGTATTTTACATTCTTATTTTGACATTGTATTTTTTCATGCAATATTAAAACATTTTCAAATATATAAATAAACAATATATTGCAAAGTGTTAAACCTAGCATTGGCTTGACCTTAAAATATTTTTTATTCTAACACCTATTTATTTTTTTCAACTTTATTATAAGATAACTTGATAACCTATGCATTTTAATAACCTTAATTATACCTGGGCGTATTAGATTCAAGCCATATTACGGCACATTACACCAATTCTGCATTACGTAATAATGGCGTAATACTATTTTCATATGAATCTTTGAACAAAAATTTGATGTAATATATTTCACCATTAATGCCGGATTATTTGAAATAATTACGCCTCCATGTATAAACCTCAATTGCTTCCCAAGACCTTTTCTGCCTTGTCTTTCATATTCTCATCCTTATACACAACAAATAAGGGCCTCAAACTTAGACAATAGTTTCCTTTCGCTGTTTAACATACATTCCATAAAATACCATTTTTTTTTACATTTATTACAAATCCGTATACTTTATCCATATCATTTTCACTCTGTTCTTGCAAAATAGGGAAGAATCATCTATACAGTGGCTTATATAAGGCCCTATATGTTACCAGACTTGAACCATTTTCCTGAAATTGAGGTAAAGGCTGATGGATTAAAATTTTTTCCGGCTGCTTAGATATTAATTCCGTACGAAACATTTGATGGACCAAGAAAGAATCATGCACAAAACTCAATTGATATATTGAACTTAAATTTTGTTCTAATCAATTTGCTTTGTTTTAATTAAAAAAGTTTGTAACTGAAATTTGTTCTTGAAGGCTTAATTAACTTGCGCTGACTAAAATTTTAATAATATCTGAAGAATCTAACAAATATTTCCTTGTTAAAAATATAGATAAATTTATAATTATATTTATTATACCTTACTTGTCTAAGAATTATTTTAAAATTTCAGGTAAAATAATATTAGTCATTTTTCTTTTTATTAGTTGATAAAACTCGGGAAACCAACGATAATTTAAAATAACCAGAATATCTTTATGTAAGAGTCATTACCAACTTCAATTTAATGCCATAATATTCGTTATCATACAAAATTTTAAGCAAATTCTGTGATAATTTAGTAAAATTTTATTTTCATGTTATTATAATCGTAACGAAAGAAATAAATTTCATAAAAAAAAAGTCCAAAATTGAACCTTATATAGTAACACAATTTCCAGAATTGGAAATGAATCGAGTTGTGTTTTGCAACGCACAAAAATTTCTTTTACATGACATCACATTTCATGTATTAGAGATTTCTTATTGTAGTTAAGGAATATCGCGTCAGACGCGTCATTCACAATATTTACTTTTTATTAATATTATAATTAGAATTCAACCTTCGTAAAAAAAATGCACTGATCGCCATTGAAGAATTGCGTAATATTACTTAATTATATACTGATATATAAATTTTTTTTTCTGTATTTTGAATTTATTTTTTATCAATTTTTAATATTATTTAATATTTAGGTCGCTGCCGGGATAGTTTTCAAAAAAAAGAGAAATATTATTCTATTAAGTTCATTGCAATTAAATTACAAACAAAATCTTTTATTGTTCGTACTGTATTTTTATTATTTATAAAAAAGTACAAACTTTTTTAAAATAATATACATTTTTTTAAAAAAAATATAAACGATTTTTAACACATCAAAAATACTTCAAGAATTTAAGCATAAAATATACACACAAAAAGTCGAGACATTGTCGAGCGGAAAATTAAATAAGTAAAATAATGTAATCTCATATCATAACTATTTATTCACTACTACCGAAGGCAATATATCGAATAATTCAATCGTTGCTTATTAGCATTACAATGACCGATATTGCTACCGAAAAGAATTATGTCACTAGTCACGAGGTTGGTGACACATTAGACGAAAAGCTCACATGTGAGTGGCATCAAATGATTTTCATTCCTATAAATAAGGTTTAAAACTTTAGAAGCCGATCTTTTTAGGTTCTTTTTTCTTATTTTTTTTTATTTAAAAATTACAATGGTTGATAATAAACTTTTGCCAAGATTATCACAAAATTTACTTGAAATTTTAAACGATGAAGAATATTATGATATCACAATTGAAGTTGGTAGTGACCCTTATGTAAAAGTATTTCGGGCTCATATGGTTATTTTAAATTATCGTTCCCCCTATTTACGAAGAGTTTTATCAACAAATAAAAAGAAAAATGATGGAACCTTGGCACATATTAAATTACCAAATATTTTACCTGAGATTTTTCAAATAGTTTTAAGGTAAAAAAGAATTAATTATAATAATATTTGTATTTTATTTTATTTTATTATTAAGCTTATTATCGCTTAATTAGGTATATCTATGGAGGAAAAATTTCTTTGGAAGAATATGATAATTCAGATATTGTTAAAATTATGATTGCTGCCAATGAACTAAGTTTTCATGAATTAATACCTTATTTAGAATCTTTTTTAATTGAAAATAAAACAGATTGGGTGGAACAACATTTTGATTTAATATATCAAATGAGTTATGAAAATGATTCTTTCTTAGAACTTCGAAAATATTGTATTGATTTAATTTCCAAAGAACCAAATAAAATATTTAATTCAAGAAAAATTATTTATCGCAATTATTCAAAATAATAATCTTCGAATGAGCGAAATTCAAATTTGGGAATATGTGATAAAATGGGGACTTGCGCAAAATCCAGAACTTCCTCCTGATTATACAAGCTTTTTAAAAGATGATTTTAATACTTTAAAAAATACCTTACAGAAATGTATTCCTTATATTAAATTCCAAAATTTAACTTCAAAAGAATTTTTGCATAATATATTCCCTTATAGAGAAATTCTTCCCAAGAAATTATACATAGATTTATTAAAAACCTTTTTGAATAGTGATTATAAACCTTCTAGGAATTTTGGACCTTCTAAGAATATTAGACCTTCTAAGAATGTTAGACCTTCTAAGAATGTTAGACCTTCTATGAATTTTAGTTCAAAAAACGTCGATTCAGTGATTATTTCAGATCAACATGTTGAATTGATCTCAAAATGGATTAATAAATTAAAAATTACAGACAAGTTAACAACTTCATATAAACTCAAATTATTATACCGAGACTCTCGTGATGGATCTGCTGATGAACAGAATGATGGCCTCAATAAATTCCGAGAGGTTTGCAAAAATCAATCTCGCACCATAACAGTTATTAAAGTGAAAAACAGTAATGTGATTCTTGGAGGATATAATCCGATAGAATGGAAATTTGATAATTCTTATGGAATTACTAAAGATAGCTTTATATTCTCTTTTAATGATAGTAGTTTCGAAAACTATATTTTAAGTCGTGTAAAGAATGAAAATGGTGCTATATATAGTGGAATATACAGTACTGGTCTAGCATTTAATAGTGACTTGCATTTATACATAGATGCTTCTGATCAATTAAGAATTTTATGCAAGAAAAATTCTTATGAAAAACATATCGGAGAAAAAAACCATTTATATATAGAAAAAATTGAAGTATTTCAAATTGTGTAAGATTTATGCTAAATCTAAAGATTCACATTATTTTTAACAATAATAACGATTTTACTTACATTCATATTGATTCCTTTAGATTATAAATAAAAAAATCTGGGTTGCTATACAGTTTTTTTTAAAAAAAATAAACAAATAAATATTCATTATTTGCATTTATAAAAAATTTTTAATTTCTTTGACTCGATTGAATGAGGTTTAAATAAATTAATAATAAAACTGATGAAAATTAGACGTTATTTGAGAGGCCAGGATATTCTCTATTATTATCATAACTAAACATCTCTTAACTTCCCAAATTTTACTATATATAAAGATCGAGGTCGACATCACTTCCTTGCAGTGAAGTTAATGGTGCAGCGGATGAAAAAATATGCAGACGCACATGAAGTCACGTGTAGTTCTACAGCATCTATTAAAACTACTTTTTTTGATTTTTTTTTATTTTGTAAAATTATAATGGTTGATAATAAACTTATGCTAAATTATCCAAAATCTACTTGAAATTTTAAGCGATGAAGAATATTATGGATACCACAATTGAAGTTGGTAGTGACCCTTACATAAAAATATTTCAAGTTCATAGTTATTTAAATTATCGTTTTCCAGTATTTAAAAAGAATTTTATCAACTAATAAAAAGAAAATGACGGAGATTTAATACGTATTATTAAATTATCAAATATTCTACCAGAGGTTTTTCAAATAGTTTTAAGGTAAAAAAGAATTAATTACAATATTTTTGTTTGATTTTAAAAAATATAAATTAAATTATTTACGTCTAATTGGTCTAATTGGGTATATTTATGGTGGAAAAATTTCTTTGGGAGAATTTGATAATTTCAGTTATTGTTAAAATTATGATTGATGAATTAATATCTTATTTAGAATCTTTTTGATTAAAAAATAAAGCAAATTGATTGGATGAAACAAAGTTTTGATAATAATACCAAAACAGTGTTCAGTTTTCTAATTGATTTTTCATAAGAAGAATTCCATACAATAATTCTTATAGGATAATTCCCATGTAATAAGATCACCTATGCCAAATAATAGACCATGTCCAGAACTATTGTAGTTAGCATAGTCATCACACGACCTAAAATATAATTATCAATTTTATCATTGCTAAACGAAAATATAAAACTATCTTTTGTGGTGCCGAAACTTTTATCTGATTTCCATTCATTTTGATTATATCCTCCAAGAATTTCATTACCTGTCTTTCACTTTAAAGTTTAAACAATTGTATTTGCTCGGGACTTACTATCACAAATTTCATGAAATTTAATTTGTGAACGCCCATCATGAGATGCACGAAATAATAATTTGAATTCGTATGAAGAAGTCAACTTGTCAGTAAAATTTAATCTATTAATCCGTCTTGAGATTAATTCAGCATATTTGAGATGTAATAATTTTTTAATCAACATTTCTTAATTTAATTTCATTGGTTATATGAGATTTTTGGTTTATTGATTGGTTTACCAATTTATTTAATTGCAGCAAGTTATACAGAGTAAGCACACATAATACAAACTATTATTACAAACTTTGTGTTACATATTATACTATTTCTCCTTACTAAGCCACATCAGAAAAGCGCGGGTGGGTATTAACAAAAAATAATACAATAATTGTGAATACAATAATTATAAAGCATAAAAAAAAAAATTATTTTGTTTTCACATTATCTAAGCATTGCCATTCTTAAAACCAGTAGTCATCTACATTTCTCTTCTTTTGCTTTCTTCTTCGTTCTTCTACTCTTCGAAACGCTTCATCTGTATCTATTGGTTTAGCTTCGCCAAATGGATTTGGTTTGGATGGTCGGGAAGCAACATTTTCATTTGGAGCAGCTGAACTTCTTGGTTTAAGCTCAAGTTTTTTTCGCATTGGTAGAGAAGTATAAGTATTAGTTGTTAATGTACGAATATTATTAGAGTTTTCAGCTTTCGATTCTGATGATGGACGGATATCATATTTTCGCATTGAATTGTGATGATTATCATATCTTTCCTCAGACCTACGATCACGAAAATTTCTCCACTTTGTATCATCTTTATCTTCAACCTTATCATTTCTTCCACGATCATTTCGTTCAACGCCACGACTTTCAGGATTCGAAAGAGTTAAAAAAGTTTCCAATAAATATGCACATAATCCTTCGGGAAGAATTTCTCTATAAGGAAATACTTTGTCAACAAATTCTTTAGAAGTTAAGTCGTAAAGTCTTATAAAAGGAATACATTGTTTTAATGTATTCTTTAAAGTATTAAGATCATCATTTGAAAAGTTTGCGATTTCAGAAGGAAGTTCAGGATTTTGAGCAAAACCCCATTTAAGTACATTTTCCCAAATATGAACTTCGCTAGTTTTAAGATTATCATTTTGTACAATTGAAATCAAAAGATTTTCCGGAATTGAAGTGAAATCAGGAGATTTAAAAATCTTATCCGGTTCTTCAGTTATTAACCCAGTACAATAATTTTGAAGTTCAGAGAATGAATTATTTTCAAAACTTGTTTTATAAACGAAATTAAAATTTTCCTCCATCCAAGTTTTTTTATTTTTAATCAAAAAGGATTGTAAATAAATGACTAATTCTTGAAGATTAAGTTCATTAGCAGCAACCAAGACCTTAATTATATCTGAATTATCATAATCATTTAAAGAAATCTTTCCGCCATAAATATATCTAAAGTAAAAAAAAAAAAATTGTGAAAATTAGAATTATTACAATTTAGTTTTTTTTTTGTTAATATTTGATCCTTTATTACCTTAAAATGATTTCAAAAATTTCAGGAGAAATATTTGATAATTTGATATGTGACAAAGTCTCATCATCTTTCTTTTTATTAGTTGATAAAATTCTTCGTAAATAAGGAGAACGATAATATAAAATGACCATATGCGCACGAAAGACCCTTACATAAGGGTCAGTACCAACTTCAATGGTTATATCATAATATTCATCATCATTTAAAATTTCAAGTAAATTTTGTGATAAATTTGGTAAAAGTTTATTTTCATTCATTTTTATAAAATAGTTAACGGAAAGGAAAGAAATGAGAAAAAAGAGTCAACTTAAATTTGTAAATGATTAGCCTTATATATATTCATTTTATACGTCATTATTTTATTTTAATTTTGCACCGCATATGTTGTAATAAGCTAATGTGTCCGTATTTGGCAGTATTGCCATCGATCGCTTATTTTGTATCACTAAAAAGAAAATAATAAGATTTAACAATTGAGCAGAATTTAACATTATATTATAATGTCTTCCTATAAAATTATTAAGACTTTGCTTTATATAATTTGCAACATTTAAATTGAGGGTAAAATTTGGCATTCGAACAGTATAACGAAACTTCATTTTATTTACGCAAGAATTGGATGAATGATTCGCTGATCAAGTGACATAAAATGAATTAATGTGGCAAATTTTGCCGATCACTAAGAAAAATTAGCCATCAGGTAACTTTTTAACATTATTTGTACTGTAATTATATATTTAATATATCATCAATTTATTATATTTTAATCGATAAGTGTCAGACATTTCATAATTATATAATCATTCTTTTTTTTTCATCGAATATTACATATTCATATTTTTTTTATGATGATTCTATTTTAATGAAAATATAATAAAATGAGATAATATTTATTCATACGATAAGCAATTAAGCAATGGCATTATTTTAAATGTATCAATTTATTCTGTTGTTTTAAAAAAAAAATATGTAATTATATTTTATTATACTTTTATTATATTGTTCAAGTAATTTCAAGTAACAGCTAAAAAATGATACACTAAATTATGACGTAGACTATTATACTATGATTTTACTTAAATTTATTAAAACATAAAAATTTATTTTCTGAATATTATATTAAATAAACTTTGATTAGCTAAGCTTTTGCAATAATAAACTATGATATCATAATTAACGAACGTCTTGATATGAAATAATTATTAATAGGAATAATAAAATGGTTTTTTTAAACCAATATATGTGCTACCAACAACAATTACACTTAATATTAACATTAAACGATAATACAGAATCTAATAATAAAAATTATATAAATTATATTATATACTTAAAAAAGTATATTTTTTATATAATATTTAATTTTTCTTACGTCATGATTATGAGTTTATGACGACTCCCCGTTTTTGGTGATCAATGTCTTTATGTTTACTTTCCTGCGTGAAAATTCTATAATTGTGATCATAGTATTAAGTATTAACACTTTAAACATACTTACGGGTCATTCGGAAGTGACTCTAAAATATTGGTTAAAGATTTATAACAAAAATAATGAATAATAGAAATATTGTACAATTTTCTCGGAATGAATTTTTTTTTTTCAATGCAATCTTTTATTTTATTATTATAGTCTTATTTTACTGCGGAAAAAAATAGGATATCTTCATTACTATACAGTTGTTGTTGAATTATTGAGTTGTTTAAGATTTAAGGGAAATAAAGCAACAGTAGAATATTATACTTATAATACTTACTATAACGCATATTTACATATTTCAAATTTTCTTAAATTGCATAATTAAAAATTTCTTTTGAAAATCAAGAAATTTATATTAATACAAGTTCAAAGTTTACAACTTAATGATTTCAACTTTGTTTTGGGATTATAATACAATGCCATTATATAAAGCACTGTATATTAATACGATAAATTCTTTCCTTTAAAATAAAGTAAATCTTTCATTATTAATTAAAGTCAACGCTAAATTTCAGAAGGAATATATTAAATATTAGATCATTAATAAGAATATATGAAGTTATTTATTATTCAAAACATTATACATTAGATAATATACAAAATGTCAATATGTTAGATTATCTAAATAGTTATTTCAAAATTGAGTTTGATGCTAAAATAAAATTTGAAGTAATACTTGTATTTATAAAGTAAAAACGTATACGCAAAATGAAATCTTTAGATAATTATATAAAATAACTTTATAGATAACGTCCACTATTTATAATGAATAAAATTAATAATTTAAAAAATAAGCTTAAAAGCTAATATCAAAATCATTTTCTACGGTAATATATTCTATACATGAATTAAAAAATTAAGTCAGAATTTAACAATATATCTACTGCAAATATAACAATGGTATAAATTTACTTACCATTACTAATATTTATATCGATATCTAATTCTAATTCATTTGTAATATAATCTAAGAAATCAAAATAAATTTCAATCACCATAAATTATGCAATTAATAAATTGTTAAAATAAGAAATTCTGTTACCATTATTTTCATTTTCGACCAATTAATTTCTTTTAGTACTACAGTCTAAATATATTTTAAGTTAATACAATATTATTATTTTTAAATCTTATCGGTTATTAGATTACTACTTTAATTTATATCATACCATTATCTTTTTTGTCTTCAGTTAAATCATTTTCATATTTTCTTTTACCTTCAAAAGAAATAATATACAGTTATTAATATTTACATAAACTAAAAAAAATAAATTATAATTAATTTTACCAGTAGGTCCCATGTTATTTTTCTGATAATAGTTAAATAGTTCTAAATAAAATCAAGGTAAATACTGTGTATTTCATATTTGAACAAAACCTTATATTTATTTTACCTAAATTAATAGATTGACTTCTTGAACTTCTTAAAGATATTGCAGATTGAATCATGCCGCTTAAATTTCTGCTCTTGTAAATTGCATTTGGATTATTTGTTACAGGTCCAATATCTGATGATTTTACAATTTCGGTTGGGTTTTTATTATCGCAATTTTTCGATTCCTCCTTATATATTTTATCAATTTTGTCATATATATCAGTAGCATGTGGCCTTTTTTCTGGATCGGAATGCCAGCATTCTTCCATTAGTTCAATATAGCCGTTAGGTGCATTTGTTACAATTGGTGGTCGTAAACCATCACAAATATTAATAATAAGTTCTGTATCATGACTTCGGTTCCAAAAAGGTCTTCTACCTGTCATTAGTTCCCACATAATCATTCCAAAACTATATATATCTGAAGCTTTAGTATATTTTCGTCCTCGAAAAATCTCTGGAGCCATATAAGGAATAATTCCATAATTTTCATAACATGAAGAATCAGTTGCAGATTTACTTATACCCAAATCACCTATTGTTATTTCTTCAATAAAAAATATATCTTCTTTACCAAAAAATATATTTCCACTGTGGAAATCCCTATGGATAATATCTACGTCATGTATACTGGCAAGTCCTTGTATTATTTTTTTCAAGTTCTCTAACTTTTCATACCAACCAACATTATGAAAACAATTAGCTATGTGGCTAATCAAATCACCTGAGTCATAATATGGCATGATAATAATAATTTCTTGAGAATTAGGATCTTGAGTAATTCCAAAATATTTACATACATAACTATTAAAATTAGAATACTTTTCATAATTATTTTTCCGTTTTGAAGAATAACCATAAAATATCTTGAGCTAGAATTTAAAAACGATTAGTAATTAATTATTTATTTTAAATTAGGATTAGTTTATTTAATGAAATATTTACCTCATTCAACTCCTTAGATGTGATGTTATTAGAATTATTAAGTTTTTTGAGGACAACTGTATAATTACTCTTACGAATGCTATTTTTATAATTCCAACCAATAACTGGACCATTAATCCAAGTGGCTTTATAAACTTTACTAAATCCTCCTTCAGCAATAAAAACTATGTCTTTGAATTGATCATAAGGAACAAATTCCATTTTTCCTGCATTTTTAACTAGACTAATTTGAGTATTTCTGATAAAATTATCAATAACTTCGTTTCCACTTTTTTTCACCTCATATGACATTACTTTGTAACAAACGTGACAAATCTTAGGACTTTTTTCTGCAGGTTTTCTTCTTTTATTGCATTCGTCACATTTTCTCTTTTTGTATTTTGATTTAACAATGGTTTGTGTAGGTTGAATTAAAGACGTATCGTTTGACAATATAAAATCAATTTTACAGTCATAGTCTGTTATTTGTTTCATGTTTTTTTAAAGGAAAAATTAGTCTTTTAGTTTGTTAAGAAAACTATCATATATATGCTTTTTTTAAAAAATGATCTTGCTAAACAAGGAATTCTTCTTTCGAATTCTATAATTCTATACGTGATTTCTAAGAAGTTTCTAATGGTAATGTGATTTTCTAAGAAATCTTCCATAGAATGCAAAGAATTATTTAGTCTTACTGACATTAACATTCTTAGAAGCTTCCAATGACTTAATTTGGAATTAGAAGTAGTGTTGGTATTTGGAAGAATCAGAGCTTCCAACCTTCCAATGAATATCATTGTCTTATGTGATGCCGCATGTAACACACAGTTAATCATAGATCCGGTTTACATCTCAATTAGTAAGTATTTAAATTTTGTACATCCTTTCTTAAAATTAAAAAATTAATAAAAAAAACAACGAAAAAAGATCATTTATACTTGACCATTTTTGGAAATTGATAAATTAACAGTTGGATTATTTATATCTTTTTTCATTGGCAGTATGATAAATTCATCATGGATTTTGTCATCGCAATTTTTAGAATTTTACCGGAAATAATGAATTTGAGATATATTTTATTTGTTAATTTTATACTTAAATATTGCATTTTCGTATTGTATTTTTCACAAATAAAGAAATTAGGTTTCTTATCTTTATTTAAAATTAAAACATGTGACCATAGTTTCAAGTTTTAGTTTGTAAGAATAGTTGGTAATAATTTTAACCAGTTACCGGATTAATAAACAAGGTTAACCTTTTGAAAAAATAATGTTTGAAACAAAGTCTTAACTTTTATTTAAAAATTATAAAAGTTGAAAGTAAACTTATTATCAATTAATATATGACTTTATAGGACCATCATGTACATGTAATACTAATATTTAGGACATCATGCTCATTATACAATGATTGAATTTATTATAATTGCGATAATTGCGTACAGTATAAAAATCATATATTTAATTTTATTATTGAGACACAAGATTTTATGTAAATTAATATTATATTAATCTGATATTAACTTATGAAAAGTATGAAAAGTATAATCTGGAAGAGTTATGGCAACCATATCTACCTGAAAATCTTTGTTTTTAAAAAGGGGAAAATCAGAGAAATCAGGTGATTTCTGACGCAATGATCTGCATCTGACACACTGTAATGCCATAACTTAGTAAGTTTATTAATTGTGAGGCGCAGTATTATAGTATATAAATTTTTAGTGATTTAAAATTGTATGACGTTATAAATGTAACGTCCGACATGACGTAAAACTATAGGTCAGATGATTATGACAATAAGTTCAATAAGTTATATTTGGAAAATTTAAAATTAGAACATTTATATTTTTGAAAAAGAAAGGTTTCGTAAAGATAATGTTTTTGTAAACTAAAAAACATTTTATTTAAATTAGGAAATTTAAAATAGTGTTCGTTGTGAGTAAAAAGCTGAAAAGTCAAAATCCAATGAGTTTGGAATTTAATTTTGAAAATTTGCTTCTTTGAGAAAGGATCTGAAAAGCAATAAAAAGGGGTAAATTTTAAAAAGGAGGAGGTTACGAATTTTTGGAGAATATTTTTTTTTTTTTTTTTTTTTNAAAAAGGGGTAAATTTTAAAAAGGAGGAGGTTACGAATTTTTGGAGAATATTTTTTTTTTTTTTTTTTTTTTGATATATTTAGTCATATTAAACCAAGCATATTATTGTATTTATTCATTTTTTAAATGAAGTATTATTTTTGTTAAGACTAAGGTGGCAACGTGATTTACCACGGGATTAGTTCTCCTTTTAAAATTGAAAATGATCGACACGAATGTTAATAAAATTTATCAAGTTATACAATGATTACAATCACCAATGATTGATCAGCAATAAATTAGTATTATTTTTGTTCCCATTTATAAAGTATCAGACCAAAATTTTTCCCACCATTGCAATTTTTTTTTTAAAATTCTGCTTTCATATATGCATTAATTTTTGGTTGAAAAAAATTCTCAATGGATTCTTTTAATTCTTTTATCAAAAGTGTTAAAGAGCTGATTAAGTCATGTGATTGTGATTATGAATGTAATGCAAAGCGGTTTAAACAAAATTTCAAAAATTGGACTAGTGAAAATTATTATCTTGATAAGTTTATTCAAGATACTCAGCTATCAGATCATAATTATAATTTTAGGCCTCAAGCATTAGAATGGATAACTTATGATAGACTTTATAATATTAAATATACCGGTCATCGTAAATACGGAGAAAATTGGGTTGATGCGTACAGAGCAAATTGGATTGATGGATGTATATATAGATGGGATAATAATAGTCAAAATTGGGAAAGAAATGATCAAAATTTGTTTGTAACTCTGGTAATTCCGAAAATTTTAATCCCGTCAAGAATTATGGAATCTATAAGTGAGGTACAATAAATTTATCAAAAGTTTCATTTTTTTGTGAATTAAAATATAAATTAATCGCATTGTACTGTGTCATTTTGTAAAAAAAAATTGTTATTTGTTTTTAAAAAAAAATATGGTTAAGAATTTTATTTTACTAATATTTCTAACTTTAACATATTATAGATTGCAGTATCTCATAAAGTTTATGGAATAACTCAAAATCCAGAAACCAAGGATTATGTGATAATTTTGGATAATGATATATGTTTAGAATGTGAATATACCTGTAATGCAATACATTTTCGGCGAAATTTTGAAAATTGGACTAGTGGTAATAATGATATTGATGAATTTGTTAAAAATACTCAACTATCAGTTCATAAAGTTAATGAAACATCATATGCGATAGAATGGATACCTTATGATAGACTTTATGACATATATAATGAAGAGTTTGGCAAAATGCGCAGAGGAAATTGGATTGATGGACATATAAGTATTAGTGAGAATAGTTCATCTAAATTGAGTGATAATTGGGATAACAACAATCAAAATTGGAAAAGAGAAAATCAAAATATGTTTGTAATTCTAAAAATTTTAAATAATCCAGCAAGTATTACATTAGAACTTATAAATAAGGTATGATAAATTTGTCAAAACTTTTATTTTTTTTGTGAATTATAATATAAATTAATTACATTATACTGTGCCATTTTATGAAAAAAATTGCCAATCGTTTAAAAACAAATAGTTGTCATATTAATATTTCTAATTTTAATATATTATAGATCGCGGTACCTTTTAAAGCTTATGGAATAACTCAAAATCCAAAATCCAAAAACTATATGGTAGTTTTGGGTTGTATATGTAATTATACATGTAATGCAACACATTTTCACCGAAATTTCAAAAATTGGACTAGTGGTAATAGTGATATTGATGAATTTATTCAAAATAATCAGCGATCAGTTCATAAGAATAATGATATCTTACAATATGCAGTAGAATGGATACCGTATGATAGACTTAATAATATTAAATATATTGTAGAAGATGTTGAGTTTGGCAAATTGTACAAAGCAAATTGGATTGATGGATATATACAGCACTGGAGTGATGTAAATAAAAATTGGAGAAGAGAGGGTCAAAATATGCGTGTATTTCTGAAAATTTTAAACAATTCAGCAAGTATTACATTAGAATTTATAAATAAGGTAAAAGTTACGTGATCACTAACCGTTTAGTTAAAAATTTACTAATATTCTTCATTTTTATTATATTGTAGATTGTAGTGCCCAATGAAGTTTATGGAATAACTCAAGATCCAAAAACCAAGAATTATATTGTGGTTTTGAAAGATATACATAAAAAATATAATAGTGTGTATAATTCAAAACGTTTTCGACAAAATTTCAAAAATTGGACTAGTGGTAATAGTGATATTGATAAATTTATTCAAGATGTTCAAAAATCATATATAAATAATGTATTAGAATGGATACCTTATGATAGATTTTATGATATCCAATATATTGCAAAAGGTGGATTTGGAAAAGTATATAGAGCAAATTGGATTGATGGTTATATAAATGATTGGGATGACTATAATCAAAATTGGGAAAGGAAGGATCAAAACATGGTTGTAGCTCTGAAAAGTTTAAATAATTCAAAAAATGTTACATTGGAATTTATGAATGAAGTAAGTTTATTTAACTATCCTTAGTAATATTTTTAAATTTTTAATATTAATACTTATTTATTAATATACAGATTACATTACATTACAAAGTAAATTTGCACAAATCTGTTATTAAACTTTATGGAATAACTCAAGATCCAAAAGAAAAAAATTACATTATGGTTTTGGATTATGCAGAGCATGGAAATTTACGAAATTATTTAGATACTAATTATAATGAATTAAAATGGAATGATAAGATCAATTACTTACATAGCATCGCACATGGACTTAAAGTTATTCATGAAAAAAAATTAATTCATCGAGATTTGCATATTGGTAATTTACTAAGGCGCAAAAATCTTACTTGTATAACCGATTTAGGATTATGTAAACCTGCAGATTATAATGCATCAAAAAATATAAAAAATAGTGTTTATGGCGTTTTACCTTATATTGCCCCTGAAATTATACGAGGTCAAAATTATACCAAAGCTGCAGATATTTATAGTTTTGGTATAATTATGTATGAAGTAATTTCTGGATTACCTCCATATTATGATGTAAGCCATGACATAAGTTTAGCAAAAAAAATTTGTGAGGGACTTAGACCAAGGTTTAATATTAAAGTACCAAAATTGATTGTACATCTAATTAAAAAATGCTTGGATGCAAATCCATTAAATCGACCAAATGCAGAAGAAATTAAAAAAACTTTAAGCCAATGGCTTAAAGAATCAAGTGATTTATTGTATGTTAGTGATCTTAGTAATTATACAAAAATGCAAAAACAAATTAAAGGAGCAGATAAAATAAACAACAGTTCATCAAGTAACAGTAAATCTTCAACAAATTTAGGAGTATCATATAAAGCTCATTCAGAAGCTATTTATACCAGTAGATTACTTAATTATAATAATCTTCCTGAGCCAAAAAATTCTGATGATTATTATGAAGAAAATGATAATATAATTAGCGTGAAATTTTCAGGTATTTTTTTATTAAAAATAAAAATTTCATGTTTAATTGTAAATAAAACTAATAAGATTTTAATTATTAAATAGAATCCTTACAAATTGATATTTCTCAATTGAAAAATAATAATTTTCTTGAATTAAAAAATTATAAAAAAAATGACAATATTAACATGGAACCCTCAAGTATGTTTTTTTAAAAATAATAAAATTAATTATAAATTACAAATTAATACTTTTTTCATTTAAAATTAATAAAAAAATTTTTTTCTGGATCCAGATAATTCTAACTATTCTTACGAAAAAAGTGATAATATGATTAATATGAATTCTTCGGGTATTGATTAATAAAAAAAAAATATTCAGATTATTTATTTAAAAAACACTAATTTTTTATCCATTAAATAGAATCACTTCAAGTTGATATTTCTCAGTTGAACATTCATCAAGATGGTAACTATTTCTTAAACACAAATAAAAAACAGAGTTATTTATAATATACTTATTTTACCTGTTCATTTTTTAGAACAAAATAACAAATCTAAAGGCAAAGAAAAAATTTAGACCAATTTATAATTATTTGCTATTTAAGTTACTGTAAAATTTATATTTTTAAGTATTTTTTTTTTTTTCGCCATTATAGTTTAAATTTTTAACTATCATTAATCTTTAGTGGAAAGGAGGCTTTCTTATGATTTAAAAGCAATTGTTTTTTTCTGTTTTTTTTTCTTTTCAATAATTAGTGAATTGCAGTTTTTGAATAATTTATTAAATATATTGATAAATATAAATTAAAAATAGGAATAATGTTAGATAAAATTTCAAATTATATTGGTCTTATTGTTGTTTAATTTGTAATATGTATTTATTCATTTATTATCTTATATTTTTGATTCATATAATAAAACTTTTTTATTACTAAAAATATATGGACTAAATCGTCCATGATTATAATATTGATAACATTTTTTTAATTCATCACATTAAGATTCATATAAGAGAACTAAATTTAATATTTAGATTATCTATTATTCTTTTATATAGTACTGAATTATTTCTATTTAATTCTAACAACTTTTTTAACCTAACCTTTATAATATACCTTAAAATTTTTATACTTTTGAAAAGTTTACAGATTTTGTTGAAATTGTTAATTAATTAATTTTTTTTTTTGGCGTAGGAAAAAAAATAAATAATGGCAACATCATTTAAATTTCTTTCTTTTTTTTGCGAAGATAATTTTTTTCAATAAACTTACTGCAGAAGAAAGTTATAAAATGCCATAATACAAAAAGAGTTTTTTTCGGTTTCAATAAAAAGCTAACAAGTAAAGGATCTTAATATTAGATTAAAATACAAATTGCAAAAACATTATATTACTAGTATAATAGAAACGCATTGTCCAAAGTCGACAAAAGTGTCTAAAGAGACTTGTAGGCTATTTTATAGGGAAAGTTAGTAAATTTTACATAATTGTTTTTGTAATATCACATGGTAAAGAAACTTGATTTATTAAACATCATCAGTCATCACTAGTTAATTATATAAGGAATTCTTTTTTCGAATTTTATTAATTTCTGATAAATTTTAATGGTAATGTAATTTTCTAAGAAATCTTTCGTAACATGCAAAGTTTTTTTAGTCCTACCTACTGAAAAATTCTTAGAACCTTCCGACTACTTAATTGGAAGTAGAACTTATAATCTTTCCCATAGCGATAATTAAAGCATGATTGCTGCAATATCACATGATATTATTCACATGATAAAAAATCACGAGTAAAAAAGAATTTGACAAAAGAATTTGACAAATAAAACAAAATTAAAATACAAGATATTTAATTACAACTTAATTATTGCATTATAAGAACAATGCCCACAATCAAATTACTCGAAGAAGAATGTATTAAATGTGTATTACAAGGACAGTAAGAATGTAAGATCGAAATGTTCAAATCAACGAAGATTTGAATGTGGATGTGGTCTGGAAAGAACGAAAAGATGGAAAGAGAAAACAGGCAAAAGAGCTGGGATGACAACTATGGCCAGCAACACGTTGTTGTGGATGTGGTAAACAGATCCACTATAATTATTTCTATTTATGTTCAGATAAAATTCATTTTGTATGTTACGAATGTCGAAAAAAGTGACATGATAAAGCAAAATTACCATAGAATTATTTCATGGTAAAGCATTAGAGTATTTTACAAGAAAAAATTTATAGGAGAAAAAGGATTTTAGAAAAACAAAAAGAAAAACAAACAAAAAGAACGAAGGTACAGTACAATCAAGACAACAAATACAACCTTCATAAGCTCAAATAGCCAAAAAGGTAAAAATAAGGAAAATAAAAACATAAAAGAACCAGAACCACGATTCGGACATTGTAAGGAATAAATTCATCAATAAAGACAGGAGAATATGACCGATGTACAATATGTAATATTACATTATATGAGCTGAATATTGGTTCAGTAATAAGAGGACAAAGAAGAGAAGCATTAATATGAATGTAACTTTCAATACATTATACGATTCAAATATCAAAGAAAAGAATGATACAGAGAACATATTCCAATTTGGGAAGATCTGAAAAGAATGAGAGCAGTAAGATCAAAAATAATATAAGAAATTAAAAATCGAGAAGTATTATGGTTAATGCAAAAAATGCACGAGTTAGATTATGTAAGAGAAAATCGGAGATTTAGAGAACAAAATTATTTGGATATAAAACCATAAAAGAAGCAGATAAAGAAAATATAACGGAAAAATATATTAGAGATAAATTATTGTCAGTTTTGTAATTCAAATTAATATCATCAGAATTATTGTTATGAATAATTCTCATATTAAACGAAAACAAGCGAAAGATTTTTAGCTGCAAAACGCTAAAAAATAGAATTGCTTGCAATCGTATTATCTAATAAATAATCTTTAAATAGTATGTTAAAATGAATATTGTTCATCTACTGGTAGATGACACTAGATGTTATAATAATAAGATCAAATTAATTGTATATTTATAATTTTATTGACAAAACACGTAAACACTCAAAAAAACTCGGCCAGTAATAAAAACTCAATCATGTAGTTACTAGCGGCAAATTTAGTTTGCATAGTTATAATTGTTAAAAAATGTAGATTACAAAACATCATTTTTTCTATAATTACGATATTTTCTTGGCTTCCTAAATTCTATTTTTAACTTATTAACTGCTATTTTCACTTAAAAAAGCATATTTCCATTATATTCACTATAAAATCCCCCTGGAATTCTTACCTTTGGTTTTGGATTGTTGTTACTTTGATCATTAAATGCCCCTGGAATTACCTCTGGTTTTGGATTTTGATCACTAAATGCCCCTGGAATTATTACCCCTGGTTTTGGATTGTTATCACTTTGATCACTAAATGCCCCTGGAATTATTATTGGATTGTTGTTACTTCGATTACTACTACTTCTAAATGACCCTGGAATTACCCTTGGTTCTGGATTCTTGTCGCTTTGATCAATACTTCTTCTAAATAACCCTGGAATTGCCCCTGGTTCTGGATTGTTGTTACTTTGATTACTAGCTCTTTTTGATTTCCGCTGTCGTGCCTTTCGTCGTCTTGGAAGTATCTCTGGTTCTGGATTGTCGTTACTTTGATTACTAGTTCTTCTGGATATTGTTAGCTCTGAAAATACCTCTGGGTCTGGAATGTCATTATTCTGATTGCTGGTACTTTCGAATAACCCTCGTACTGGAAATATCTCTGGGTCTGGATTGTCATTATTTTGATTGCTAGTGCTTTTAATTACCCGTGATAATGAGGGCTCTTGATTGTCGTTACCTTGATTACTGGTTCCGATTATCCGTGGATTTGAATTGATATCGCTTTGATTACTAATTCCTCTAATTATCCGCGGTTCTGGTTGATTACAATCATGATCCAAAAAATATTCAATCAAACTTTCATACATTTCTTCAGGAATAATCTTTTTGTATGGGTGAACCTTATGCAAGAACTCTTTATGAGTAAAATCAGTAAATCCAATAAAAGAAATACATTTCTGCAAAGTATTTCTTAAAGCGTTAAAATCATCATTTGAAAAACTTGTATAATCCGAAGAAAGTTCAGGATTTTGAGCAACACCCCATTTAAGTACATAATCCCAAACTTGAACCGTACTCATATCAATATTATTATTTTGAATAATAGAGATTAAACATTTTTCTGGAATTGAAGTAAAGTCAGGTGAATTAAAAATTTTTTCTGGTTGTTCAGATATTAAATTTGTACAAAACATTCGAAGGTCCAAGAAAGAATCATTTTCAAAACTTAATTGATATATTGAACTTAAATTTTGTTCTAACCAATTTGTCTTGTTTCTAATTAAAAAAGATTGTAAATGGGGAACTAGTTCTTGAAGACTTAATTCATTTGCGCTGATCAAAATTTTAATAATGTCTGAAGTATCACATTCTTCTAACAAAATCTTTCCACCATAAATATACCTAAATATTATTTTAACGTAAATTAAGAATAAATTTATTAAAAAATAATAACGTATTTATAAATTACTTACCTAAGAATTATTTGAAAAGTTTCGGGTAAAATATTTGGTAATTTAATATTAACCAAAGTTTCATCATTTTTCTTTTTATTAGTTGATAAAATTCTTCTCAAATAAGGTGAACGATAATTTAAAATAATTATATGAGCACGGAATATTCTTACGTAAGGGTCATTACCAACTTCAATTGTAATGTCATAATATTCATCGTCATCCAAAATTTCAAGCAAATTTTGTGATAATTTTGGTAAAAATTTATTTTCATTCATTATAATCGTAACGAAAAGGAATAAGTTTCAAAAAAAAAATTAGTCTTAAATTGTGAAAGATTAAACCTTATATAGTAACACAAGTTCCAGAATTGGAATGAATCGAATTGCTAAAATAATTCTTGTTCACAACGCACAAAAATTTAATTACATAACAAGGTGGAGTTCACATTTCATGTACTAAATTTCTATCGTAGTAAGGAAAATGATTATTGTGCACATGATATTTACATTTTATTAATAAAATTAGAAACAACCGTAAAAAAAAAAATAAATTAATTGAATGGATCGTCATTGTGCATCACGCTAAAGTTTGAATAACGTAAAATTTAACATTATTACCTTATTTATATAGTTTATTTTTATCGGTTATTATATCATCTAATAATAAATATCTAGACTGGAATACTTTGGCTATACTAATATTCGTTCTTCCGCCGTTGATTCTGGCTGGTGAACCGAGTCCTATTGATCAACATCTGGAATTTTTTGATTTGTAATCAATTTGTAATCAATTTGTAAGCATCCGGACCCATGACTTCTGCCGTCATTATATGGAATCCGAGCTAATTCCACGTCGGATCCAATGGAAACCTGGGGCGAAAATTAGTATAGCCTCAATAGTATATCAAAAAAAAAAAAATAATTATTATTATCGAGAGAATTATTTCGATTTTACTTTATATAATGTGATCGACAAGTTGATGCGCAGCAGATGCTTACGCAAATGAAATCACGTGCAAATCTAGCTTATAAATTACGCCAATCATTTGGCTGGGGTGCAGTTACTCAATTTTTTTTTCTTTTTTTTTTGGAAGATTACAATGATTGATGATAAACTTTTACCAAAATTATCCCAAAATTTACTTGAAATATTAAACGATGAGCAATATTATGATATCACAATTGAAGTTGGTAGTGAAGTATTCCGAGCTCATATGGTTATTTTGAATTATCGTTCTTCTTATTTTAGAGGAATTTTATCAACCAATGAAAAGAAAAATGACGGAACTTTGACAAACATTAAATTACCAAATATTTCACCCGAAACTTTTTCAAATAGTCTTAAGTAAAAAAAAAAAAAAAGAATTAATTATAATATTTAATCTTAATATTTTATTTTTTTTTATTTTATTATTAACTTATATTGTCGTTTAATTAGGTATATCTATGGGGGAAAAATTTCTTTGGAAGAATATGATAATTCAGTTATCGTTAAAATTATGGTTGCTGCGAATGAACTTAATCTTCATGAATTAATACCATATTTAGAATCTTTTTTAATTGAAAATGAAACGAATTGGATGGAACAAAATTTTGATTTGATATGTCAGATAAGTTTTGAAAATGACTCTTTCTTAAAACTTAAAAAATATTGCGAAGATTTAATTTCTAAAGAACCAAACAAAATATTCAGTTCGCAAAAATTTCTTTCAATTCCAAAGAAACTTTTGATTACACTTATTCAAAATGATAATCTTCAAATGAGTGAAGTTCAAATTTGGGAACATGTAATTAAATGGGGACTCGCTCAAAATCCGGAACTTCCTTCTAATCCTACTAGCTTTTCAGAAGATGATTTCAATATTTTAAAGAACACTTTGCAACAATGTGTTCCTTTTATTAGATTTCAAAATTTAGCTTCAAATGAATTTTTGAAAAAAGTTAAACCTTATAAAAAAATCTTACCAAGGGAATTATATAATGATTTATTAGAATATTTTGTAGATAATGATGGTAAAGAATCAGTACCCCGTATAATTGAAGAAAATAAAGAAATTGATGATTCAAATAATATTGATTCTAAAATAATTACATTTCATCATGCTGAATTAATTTCAAAATGGATTGATCGATTAGAAGATACCGACGAGTTACCAACTTCATACGAATTCAAATTATTATATCGCGAATCCCGTGATAATGAGCACTCCGATAAATTTCAAGAGATTTGCAAAAATAAATCTCGCACCATAACAGTTATTAAAGTGAAAAACAGCAATGAAATCCTTGGAGGATATAATCCGACTGAATGGAAATTTGATGGTAGTTTTGGCGTTACTAAAGATAGTTTTATATTCTCCTTTAGTAATAATAGTATCGATAATTATATTTTAAGTCGTGTGAAGGAAGAAAAGAAAGCTATACATAATGGAAAACGCAGTACTTGTCCCCCAACATTTAATGTTGACTTGGAACTGTATAGAGATTTTCTTACTAATGAATTAAGAATTAGTTGTACAAAACGTTCTTATGAGAAGGATATTGGAGCATTCAATGATTTATATTTAGCAGAATTTGAAGTATTTCAAATTGTGTAAGATTTATATTAAATTCAAAATTTTGGTATTTGGTATTATTTCATATTATTTGTAACGATAATTAGCCTTTATATAATAATGGTATTTTTTTCATTCATATTTTATTTTACTTGTATTCATATTTTATTTTGTTAGTATTGATTCCTATAGGATATTAAATAAAAATTCTGTCTTTCTGGGTCGCTAAGCAGTTTTTTTTAAAAAAAAAAAAATAATAGCAAATAGATAATCGTTATTTGCATTCATTTGCGTTCATTTGCAAAGTATTACAAGAGTTAACTTTAATTTCTTTAATTGGTTTAATTGAATGAGTTTTAAATCAATTAGTAAAAAAATTAATGTGAATTTTTTTAATAACTAGACGCTATTTATTATAGAAAGGTATAATTTGTCGTATGTTGATTATATTGTATCATATGCAAATATCAATAAATTAATTTGAATCACATTTTTTATTTTATTATAAATAGTTGATATTGTGCACTACAAAAAAAAAAATCCCGTATAGTGATTTACCAGGATTTTTTTTTATTATCATAAAAGGAATATAATGAAATCTCTTAATTTCGCAAAATTTTACTGTACATAAAGAGATCGATGTTGAACCTATAAATCATTTCTTTTATGAAACTCTAAAATTTGCTTTCAACTAAGTTGATGGCGCGGCAGATGGTCATATAGTTCGCCTAGTGAGGCAACAAGTATGAAGATTTTTTCTTTGGGCGTCCCTTACGCAATTCTTTTAAAAAATATCCTTATATAAAAATTACAAGATAGTGCATCTATACAAAGCATTTAAAAAATTGAAGAAAATCTTGTATAAACATATTACTTCTGTTTAACCAATTGTCAAAAAAGATGTAAACCCTAAAAAATTTCTACTAACATACGAATATCCTTAGCCAGTATTAGTTATAAATTATATCACGTACGGAATAGGTTGATATTAACGATTAAAGCCTTTAAATAAATTATAATGATACGCTTTAGAATCGCGTATAGAACGACTTTCTCAAATAATTTGATTATTTGAGCACTTAATGAACCAATAATGCTTCCTTGAATAGTCCAATCAACCATTAAGTGAAAAATCTAAATCTACTATTCATGAGCAATTTGGAGCTTAATACAATTGAAGATTTTTTTAAAAACTAGAAATTTAATTACATTTTTAATTATTTATTATTAAGACAAGCATAATCACAAAATAATGTCCAAAAATGACTAACATTACGACATTCGGCTGGAATTAAGTGTGGCGTACATGTGACAAATATTATATGACGAATAGTATTTTCTACTATAAATTTCAGATACTCATGAAAGTTTTATTTGTTTATTTATTTAAAAGCTGGAACTCTGAAAAAACAAAGAAAGATTACAACTTAGTAAAAAGTAAAATATTAAGCTATGCGCCTATACCACATAAGATCTATGAACTCACAGTTTATGTAACCCTCTGCCACTTTTGGAGCTACTATTCTTGTTATCATTTCCGGACGTACAAAAAAAAGATCAAAAATCTAATTTATATTTAATTTATATTAATGAAAGGCGATCATAAAGCCAAGAATAGAAACGGATATTTTAAGAAAAGGAATCACTTCTTTTTGATTGGTCTTTTTCATTTATTGCTTCTTTCCTTGATCATTCAGGGATTTATTGTACTTGTTTCAGACCTTTATTTTTTGTCTCCTCTGGCAGATTTTTTTTTTGAACGTCGAAAATTTTTAATAAATATCATTAATTATAAGATCATATATTGAAGTTTGAAATCATTGTTACAGCTAATACAATAATTCTTTCCAAAATAGTTTGTTCTTTCATTAGAGTTAAACAAATCATGTGTGCTAAAATTTAATACTAAATTTTAAATATTTAATTCTGTTAGACCGTTATAATAGTATAGATATTTATTATTAAAATTTTAATAAGAGCTAAGTTATTAAATAGTCTATTTCAAATAAGTATCATTTCTTTGCCCAATAAAATCAAATAATCAAGTGCCTATATTTATAATACCTAATATTTTTAAAATATACATATCCATATTGTTTTAAATTGATTGCTTTTAAAAATGAAAATTATATATTCGTAGAATCACCAAATGTGTTTACCTGAAAATTTCATAATATCCTAATGTTCATTAAAATTATACTCAAAGATTAATATCGAAATCATTTTCTATGGTAATATATTCTATATATTAATCAAAATTATGTTAATATTTTCATGTAAGCAACAAGAAAATAGTATATTTGCTTACCATTATTATTAAAATTTATATCGATATCAAATTTGATTTCTTCTGAAAGATAATCTAAAGATAATATTAAATTTGATTAAATCATAATTATGAAATTAATATATTATTAATAAAAAATAGTCACCATTATTTTTATTTTCAAATAATTTTTTTCTTTTAATGGAACCTACATAGTATAAAATATTAATTTGTATCATGAGTTTAATAGATTGTCAACATAATTCAATTTTATATCATACCACTATCATTTTTGTCTTCAATTAAATCATTTTCATATTTTCTTTTACCTTTAAAAGGAATAATATACAGTCATTAATATTTACATAAATTGACAAAAAAAAAATAAATAAATAAATTATTAATAGTTACCAGTAGATGTCTTGTTGTTTTTCCGATAATAATTAAATTGTTCTAAATAATTAATTTAAAATAAATAAAATCAAAAGCTAAATATTATGTATATTATGGATACAATTTTTTTACATAATATACCAAACCTGCTATATTTCCTAAGTTAATAGATTGATGACTTCTTAAACTCCTTAAAGACATTGCAGTACTGATCATGCCGCTTAAATTTCTACTCTTGTAAATTGCATTTGGGTTATTAGTCGTTACAGGTCCAATATCTGATGATTTTACAATTTCGGTTGGGTTTTTATTACAGGAATTTTTCCATTCCTCGTCTTTCATTTTATCAATTTTGTCATATATATCAGTGGCATGTGGCCTTTTTTCTGGATCGGAATGCCAGCATTCTTTCATTAATTCAATATAGCCGTTAGGTGCATTTGTTACAATAGGTGGTCGTAAACCATCAAAAATTTCAATAATAAGTTCTGTATCATGATTTCGATCCCAAAAAGGTCTTCTACCTGTCATTAATTCCCACATAATTATTCCAAAACTATATATATCTGAAGCTTTAGTATATTTTTTTCCTTGAAAAATCTCCGGAGCCATATAAGGGATAATTCCATAATTTTCATTACATGAAGATTCAGTTGTAGATTTACTTATACCCAAATCACCTATTGTTATTTTATCAACAAATACAATATTTTTATTACCAATAAAGATATTTCCGCTGTGGAAATCCCTATGGATAATATTTGCGTCATGTATATTGGCAAGTCCTTGCATTATTTTTTTCAATTTTGCTAACTTTTTACGCCAACCAACATCATAAAAACAATTAGTTATATAATTGATCAGATCACCTGAATCATAATATGGCATGATAATCATTATATTTTGAGAATTAGGATCCTGAGTAATTCCAAAATATTTGCATACATAATTATTATTAGTATGATACTTGTAATAATCATTTTTCTGTTTTGAAGAATAGTTATAATATACCTTGAGCTATAATTTAAAAAGTTTAGTAATTAATTTGTTTATTTTAAATTGGAACTTTTTGGTTTAAATAGAATATTTACCTCGTTCAACTCCTTAGATGTGATGTTATTAGAATTATTAAGTTTTTTGAGGACTACTGGATAATTACCCAAACGATTGCTACTTCTATAATTCCAACCCCTAACTGGACCTTTAATCCAAATGGCTTTATAAACTTTACTAAATCCTCCTTCAGCAATAAATTCTATGTTTTTGAATTGATCATAAGGAACAAATTCCATTTTTCCTGCATTTTTAACTAGACTAATTTGAGTATTTCTGATAAAATCATCAATAACTTTGTTTCCACTTTGTTTTACATTATATCTCTTTACTTCATAACAAACATGACAAATCAGATGACTTTTTTTTGCAGGTTTCCTTCTTTTATTACATTCGTTACATTTTCTCTTTTTGTATTTTGATTTAACAATGGTTTGTGTAAGTTGAATTAAAGACGTATTGTTTGGCAATATAAAATCAGTTTTACATTCATAATTTGTTATTTGTTCCATGTTTTTTTATAAAGGAAAATTAGCCTTTCAGTTTTTCAAAAACTATCTTATATATACGTCTTTAAAAATGTCCTTGTTAAACAAGGAATTCGGTTTTCAAATTCTATAATTCTATATGTGATTTCTAAGAAGTTTCTAATGGAAATATAATTTTCTAAGAAATCTTCCATAGGATGCAAGAAACTATTTAGTCTTACTAACAGTAACATTCTTAGAAACTTCCAATGACTTAATTTGGAATAGAAGTAGTGTTGGAATTTGGAAGAATCAGAGCTTCCAACCTTCCAATGAATATCATTGTATTACGTGATACATACAACTAACGTACTATTAATTGTGGATCCGTTTTACAAACATTCGCATTTCTCATTATTATGAATCCTTGTTTAAAAACAAGAAATAAAAAATCAATGATTGCTAAAAAAAAAAAGATAATTCATGAATATGTTTTTATTTATGTTACATACTGTATATGAAAATTATAATAATTATAAACCTTTATAAATATGAATTTTTACTCAAAAATGCAAAATTGTTACGCATATTTAAATAACAAGCAATGAATGGAACATCAATAATATATTGAATATATATATTGGTGAATTTATACTTTTTATTTTTTAACTGTTACGTTGCGACATTTCATCATAGTCAATTGAATTAGTTAATATTAAAATGATAAAATTTTCTTGGCCTTATACTAAAAATGGGTTACTTAAAATTGTAATTTAAACATGTGATTGCAGTTGAACAATAAAATATGGAAAATAATGATCTAATATTTGTTCACCATTCTGACCATCTTAAAACTAATTTTTGCTCACCAAATTTGATCTAAATGTCGTCTGGAAATGGATCGGCGTGTCTATAATTAGAAATGTTCCGGCTTGTAATATTTTCTTAAAAATTTTGTTTTATAGCGGTATTTTATTTGAGTGGATTTAGTTTTACACAATTTTTTCAAGTTTTTCATATCTGGAATTATTATAAGCCAGAACTTAATTTTAATGATAACGTTTAACGCTAATATTATTTAAAACAAAAACAATAATGTCCAATGATGATATCCGTTCGTCTAAAGGATCTTCGTGCGATAGAACATTTTGTTCTAAATAACTTTATTTGTAATAATAAAAGTGATAATTTTGCTAAAGCAGAAATACATCATACATTTTAAAAATTAGAATATAGTGAAATTTAAAAAGATTTAACATTTTTATGATATATAATTCAAATATATAGTAAACTAATTGTTTACTATTCTTCAAATTCCTCAATCACTTCAGAATGTTGAGGAACATTTTTTTCACCTATTACAATAATAAAATTAAATAAATCATTAATTAATTTTTAAAATAAAATAAAATAAAATAAAACGAATATAATCATAAGCTTACTTTTTCTGGTTTGCTTTGGTAATAAGCATTTGTGAATATTAGGCAAGACACCACCTTGAGCAATTGTAATGTGACCAAATAATTTACTTAATTCATCATCATTACGAATGGCCAATTGTAAATGACGAGGAATAATTCTAGATTTCTTGTTATCATGAGCAGCATTACCAGCAAGTTCAACTATTTCAGCTATCAAATATTCAATAGTCGCAGCAAGGTAGACGGGTGCACTGGTACCAATACGTGATGAATAATTTCCTTTTCGAAGAAAACGATGAATACGTCCAACTGGAAATTGGAGACCAGCCTGTAAAATTATAGTTTTTAATAATGAGGTAATCGATATATTAATTAGAGAATTTTTTTCTTTTGAAAGTGAGAATTTTAATTTAATTGAAATACTTTATTTATTTTTTTTTTTTTTGATAACAAAACATACTTTTGTAGTTCTTGAAAATTTCTTTTTTGATTTTGATTCATTTTTTCCAATACTTGATCCATTCATTTTTTTTTTAATTTTTATTATTTAAACGAATTTATNTATATAAAGTGAATATAAGTTTATCAAAATTAATATGATTCTTTTTATTTCCTTTATCATTAAAATTTTTTTTTTTTTATAGTATGAGAATTTGTAAGATTAATATAATTAATCATATTATTAATACCTCATATTTCATGCAAATTTAATTTCTAACTTACCAATTATATCATTGGGAAAATTACAAATGTATGATGATAATTTTAATAAATTAAACTAGTAGTTTAATAAATAAGATTCTCACGTTCTATCATTATATTGAAGATACTGCGTAAAAGTTGAATTCCGACCTTCAACCTTACGCAATAATGATGTATTGAATCTAATAATATGTTACACATAACGTTGATAAAACAACACCAACTTCCATTACCAGAAAATTATACGATCATTATGATGAATTATACAACATGAACAAAATTTATGAATGTATTGATATATTGGTAGATATTAAATGGCATAATTAAAATAATTACATTACAACAATTTTAACAATTACAGAATTACAAACCTTACACCTATTAAAAATTAAGGGAAAATACAAATCGACGCTGTCAGTTTTGCAATATCATTATCAATATTTGAATTAAATAATAAAGGTTACTATTAACTTTGTTATGAATAATTCTCAGTTTAAAAAGTTGCTATAAATAATTTTAAACAAAGAGAACAAACGAAAGATTTTCAGAAGGACTGGGAACGTTCAGCAATATCATTGCTTGTTATAGCATTTTCAAATAAATGGCTCCATTGCCTTTATAAATGTCATTTCTTTATTTTAAACGTTTTTTCAGTTACAAAATTTCGATATACTGTATGTATACATCATGGAATTAAATAATGTAGTAAATGAATATCTTTCATCATCTGATACGTTATAATATAACAGTTAAATTATATATTCAATTTTATTGGCAAAACACGCAAACACTCGTTATTTACAATTATTACATTAGAATTACTGTATATTATATTCATGATTATGACAATAATTTATAAAATACACATTTTTTTAAAAAAACGTTAATTACCAAACTAGAACTTATAATATTTTATTCATTTACAAAAAGTTATAAACTGAACCATTTTAGTAGCACACCAATTATTATAAATTTCCAACTATATATTGTTATTGCATATAGTATACTCTTTACTTTATCCTTGATCTATCACTCATAAAAATTTACGTATAGTGTCTTCTAGTGTAAAGCTTCTTTGCCTATTATTTCTGTTTACCTGCGGGTCTGGTTCCAGATTGTTATTACTTTGATCCCTAATATTTCTATTTACCCGTGTATTTAGTACCAGATTGTTGTTACTTTGATCCCTAGTATTTCTATTTACCCGTAAGTATGGTTCCATATTGTTACTACTAGTACTTTGATCCCTAGTATTTCTATTTACCCGTAAGTATGGTTCCATATCGTTACTACTAGTACTTTGATCCCTAGTATTTCTATTTACCCGTAAGTATGGTTCCATATCGTTACTACTTTGATCCCTAGTATTTCTATTTACCCGTGTATCTGGTTCCAGATTGTTACTTTCTCTGTATCCCTCTAGTTCTGGGTTGTCTTTGTTTTGATTACTAGTTTCGATCACCCGTGGATTTGAATTGATATCGCTTTGATTACTAATTCCTCTAACTATCCGCGGTTCTTGTTTATTACAATCATGATCCAAAAAATATTTAATTAAACTTTCATACATTTCTTCAGGAATAATCTTTTTGTATGGGTATACCTTATGCAAGAACTCTTTAGGAGTAAAATCAGTAAATTTAATAAAAGAAATACATTTCTGCAAAGTATTGCTTAAAGCATTAAAATCATCATTTGAATAATTTGTAGAATCTGAAGAAAGTTCAGGATTTTGAGCAACACCCCATTTAAGTACATAATCCCAAACTTGAACCATACTCATATCAATATTATTATTTTGAATAATAGAAATTAAACATTTTTCTGGAATTGAAGTAAAGTCAGGTGAATTAAAAATTTTTTTTGGTTGTTCAGATATTAATTTTGTACAAAACTTTTGAAGGTCCAAGAAAGAATCATTTTCAAAGCTTAATTGATATATTGAACTTAAATTTTGTTCTAACCAATTTGTCTTGTTTCTAATTAAAAAAGATTGTAAATAGGGAACTAGTTCTTGAAGGCTTAATTCATTTGCGCCGATCAAAATTTTAATAATATCTGAAGTATCACATTCTTCTAACAAAATCTTTCCTCCATAAATATACCTAAATATTATTTTAACGTAATTTAAGAATAATTTTATTAAAAAAATAATAACATATTTATAAATTTAAATTACTTACTTAAGAATTATTTGAAAAATTTCGGGTGAAATATTTGGTAATTTAATACTAGTTAAAGTTTTATCATTTCTTCTTTCATTAGTTGACAAAATTCTTCTCAAATAAGGTGAACGATAATTTAAAATAACCATATGAGCCCGGAATATTCTTACGTAAGGGTCATTACCAACTTCAATTGTAATGTCATAATATTCGTCGTCATCTAAAATTTCAAGCAAATTTTGTGATAATTTTGGTAAAAATTTATTTTCATTCATTTTTTTCGTAACGAAAGGGAATAAGTTTCAAAAAAAAAATTTATTCCAAAATTGTGAAAGATTGAACCTTATATAGTAACACAAGTTCCAGAATTGGAAATGAATCGAATTGTTAAAGTAATTATTATTGTTCACAACGCACAAAAATTTCATTACATGACAAAGATGACAAGGTGGAGTTTACATTTCATGTGTTAAATTTCTTATCATGATTAAAGAAAATTATTTATTTGTGTTCTTCATAAAACTTACTTTTTATTAATAAAATTAGAATACAAACTTCGTAAAAAAAAAAATATATATATCCACCGCATTGATCGTCATCGAGCTTCACGTTCAGAATTATGTAAATTAAATATTATTCTAGAATTTTTTTTTTTTTTGTATTTTATCTTGAATTTATTTTTTAACTATGCGTACACGAAAAGTCGAGACAGAAAATTAAATAAGTAAAACTATATAATTTTATTTCATAACTATTTATTTATCCATTACACCGAATTATCATTAAAGTGAATGGTTGCTTATTAGCATTTTAATGACCGATATTGCAAATAATAACGAAATAATTCTTTGGATTTTTGTTTTTGACAATCCATTAAAGAAAAGCTTTGACGTCACCGATCACGAGGTTGGTGACGATATTCGTACGTAAGGTCGTAAGGTTACATGTGAGTGGCATCAAATGATTTTCATTCTTTTAAATAAGGCTTAAACTTTTAAAAACAAGCTTTTTTGAGTTTCTTTTTTCTTATTCTTTTTTATTTAAAAATTACAATGGTTGATAATAAACTTCTGCCAAAATTATCACAAAATTTACTTGAAATTTTAAACGATGAAGAATATTATGATATCACAATTGAAGTTGGTAGTGACCCTTACGTAAAAGTATTTCGGGCTCATATGGCTATTTTAAATTATCGTTCCCCTTATTTACGAAGAGTTTTATCAACAAATAAAAAGAAAAATGATGGAACGTTGGCACACATTAAATTACCAAATATTTTACCTGAGGTTTTTCAAATAGTTTTAAGGTATTAATTATAATATTAACATTTATATTATATTATATTTTATTTTATTATTAAACTTATTATCGCTTAATCAGGTATATCTATGGGGGAAAATTTTCTTTGAAAGAATTTGATAATTCAATTATCATTAAAATTATGATTGCTGCCAATGAACTGAGTCTTCATGAATTAATACCTTATTTAGAATCTTTTTTGATTGAAAATAAAGCAAATTGGATGGAACAAAATTTTAATTTGATATACCAAATAAGTTTTGAAGATAATTCTTTCTTAAAACTTCAAAAATTTTGCAATGATATAATTTCTAAAGAACCAAAAAAGATATTTAATTCACCAAATTTCTCTTCGATTCCAGAGAAACTTTTAATCACTCTTACTCAAAATGATAATCTTCAAATGAACGAAATTCAAGTTTGGGAGCATGTAATTAAATGGGGACTTGCACAAAATCCTGAACTTCCCTCTGATCCTACAAGCTTTTTAAAGGATGATTTCAATGCCTTAAGGAATACTTTACAACAATGTATTCCTTGTATTAGATTTCATAATTTAGGTTCAAAAGAATTTTTGAAAAAAGTAAAACCTTATAAAAAAATCTTACCGAAGGAATTATATAATGATTTGTTAGATTATTTTCTGGATAATGACAGTAAAAAACCAGTGCCTCGTATAATCGAAAAAAATAACAAAAATAAAGGATATTCAAAAAATATTGTTTCTAAAATAATTACGTTTCAACATCTTAAATTAATCTCAAAATGGATCGATAGATTGGAAATTACAGAAAAGTTTGCAACTTCATGTGAGTTCAAATTATTATATCGTGATTCTCGTGATGGGTCTAGTAAATTGAATAATGGATATGACAAACTCCGAAAGATTTGTAAAAATCAATCTCGCACCATAGTAGTTATTAAAGCGAAGGATAGTAACAAAATTCTTGGAGGATATAATCCAATTGAATGGAAGTTTGATAACCACTACGGAAATACTAAAGATAGTTTTGTATTCTCCTTTAGTAATAATAGTATTGAGAACTACATTTTAAGTCATGTAAAGAACGAAGAGAAAGCTATATATAGTGGGACATACAGTGTTAGTCTAGCATTTGATTTTGACTTACAATTATACAGTGATTCTTCTGACCAATTTAGAGTTAATTGTGAAAAAAGTTCTTATGAAAAACATATCGGAGGAATCAATGATTTATATGTAGAAGAATTTGAAGTATTTCAAATTGTGTAAGGTTTATATTGAACCCAAAAATTTATATTAATTTTTTTATTATTTGTAGCTGTAATTTGCTTTTATATAATAGTGGTTTTAATTTCATTCATATTTTATTTTATTTGTATTGATACCTATGCATTATTAAATAAAACAATCTGGGTCGCGAAACAGTTTTTTTTTTAATCGTTATTCATTTTTTTTTGCAAAGAATTATTTACTGGTCAAAGTGGTACGGAAACCTTGGTGTAAATGATGGAACCTTGTCTAATTTGCATAACATTTCCACAACATTTCCACAATAACATAACTACTGGAAGCATCATTGAATCTGGCATACACTATGAAAATTGGACATGTTTTCACCAAATTTTAATAGTATAAACTTCATGTAAACCATATCTCTTCGACCTATGATTCAAATATTACAAAAGTTTGATTTTTTAATTGGTTTAATTGAATGAACTTTAGATAAATTAATAAGAAATATAATGAGAATTTTTAATGGTTCGTTATTTAGGAGGATACAATGTTAAATAGTAATAGATTAATTTAAATGCTTTATTATTTTTGTTGTGAATAGTGATTTTCCCAATATATTTCTTCTGTTGTTATAATAAATTTAGATCGAAGTTTGCCCTAATTATAAACTAAAATCTTGAACTTGATTAGATAATCAGCAAAATTGAGATAAGAGAGTTTTGTTTGGCGTGAAATAAATGAACATTCAAGAAACATTTCTATAAAGTTAATATTGAAATGGAATGCATACGACTTATGTTGCATCCGTGAATGTCCAATGAAACCTGCAGAAGGACAAAAAATAAGAAACGTTAATACATTTATTAGAGTAATTTTCAAAGGTTTTATTATCTTTGATGTTCGGTATTTATTTAATAGTAACACTTTTATTACGATTATCTAATTAAATATTGCACGATTTCAAACTTTCAATATAATGTTAAATAGATGAGATGTATAATTACGGATAATTATATAATATCATAATACGGGAATATTTGAGAAATCAGAAATCTAAAATAAAATTAAAAAATTGTGATCTTTTCAATATTTCTATAAAATTTTTTACCATAATACTAATTCGGGATAAGACTAGCAACAAATTTATGTTGATGAAAAATTTTTGTATTTTGTATCTAAAATCAATAAAATCAATACCGGTCTGTCTCCATTCAACACTCAAAGGCAAAGTTCAGTTTTCTCCATTGTTTTAAGCCTTACTAGCTCCAACAGAACTACAGAAGAAACCTTCTGACAAAATCCAGATAAAAAAAAAAAATCAATCATCAAATTGATCAGATCGAATAATCTGAATATCTAATAGGAATCTGAGGATATAAATGTTCAATCCAGTCAAAAAAATATTTTTAAGAAAAAGGATAAATACGTTAGTAACGTTTGTTGTTTATTAACACTCCTATAATAGTGTTCAGAAGGTTTCTACAAAAAAAACCAAAGAAATTTAAAGTTAGTTATGTTTATTAACGGTGAAAGAAGTAGAGTTCTAATCCACGGATAACGTACACGGACTTGAGCAAGGGTTTTTTTTTGAGATGTCCTCAGACTATATCCCAATGCATTATATGGTAAATTTCAAATATAAAAAAGAAAATTATTTTTTCAAAAAAATTTAATTATTAAATATTTATAGGGAATCCAGTAAACAATTAGGTTGTTCTTAATAAATTAGAAAAATAAACACATTATGTCGTTTCAAAATCCAACAATACTATCAAAAGTAATTAAACGCAAACAGTTCTCGTTCGCATCAAAACTGTTGCACGATATTTTACTAGCGACTTCATGTTTTACATGAATATATCTGTTCATTTAACAAATCACATCATTTATTAAGTTGAATTTATATGAATATTTGTTTTTATTTTTTAATGATAAGAAAACTATTTTAATAATATCATTATTAGAAAGCCGAGTAATTTATTTATTAAGAACTTAAGAAATCTTTAACTCCCATCAAGAAGATTAAAAGTTTAGCTACTGGTCAAATTTTAAATTTGCTTATTATACGAAGGTTCATATTAGGAAATATTTTTAATTCTGGCCAGAATTATAAATTTGACCAGAATTACTGCCGACCACGAAAAAATTCATCAAAAATGAATTGGGTGGTCCAATATTTTTGCAATTAGCACTAAGAACGTTCACTAATTTGTTTACTTTAACGAAAAAAATTGTTTCTTGTTTATTTTACAACAAACAAAAAAATTTTTTTGTTCTTATTAAAGGCAAACAATTTATTTATATAACCATTTACCCATTTTGTTACATTGTTTAATAATTCACCATTCATATTTTAACAAATTGGTTGTTAATTTACCAAAAAAAAGGTAGTTATTTTGATCGGTCCTTTTTTAGATAGATGATTGATAAATGAGTCCTATCTCACATGATCTTTCCGAAAAGGGAGTGTACTTTTTCAGTTAATACATAGCTATGGGTAACTAGTCCTAATGTGGTATGTTGTTATGCTGGAATATTTGGGTAGAATTAGTATTGACCAGATAATTCTGGTAAAATTTTCCGAACATAGTTTCTTGTCATCGGCCTTCCTAATCAGTCCAGTTCTAGGACTGCGATCCAGTCAGTCCAGACTAGAAATATCTTAATTATGCAAATTTGATTGCGCAGCTGATGCAGACGGATGCAATTTCCCCAGTATCACCACAGCAAAATGTCACGTTCACATGATTTTGATGCCAAATACTGCGTTATTTTTTCTTTCATGTAAAAATTGTAATATCATTTATCAAAATTTCAATATTCAGTATATTTGTAATGTTACCGTAAGTCCATAATATGTTTAAATAATTCTTAGGAATAAATAACAATAATATTAGACCAATAAAAAGAACAGCCACTTTAATATATTAAAAAAAACATTAAAGTTCTTATTATATTGTATTTTAAAAATAATAACCCATAAAATATGACCGATAATTATTATGAATTTTTAAATAAACGACAGTATTTAGATGGTGGAAATCTTACGTTTTTAGAAATGATAATCATCAAATCACGTGAATGTGGCAGTGAAGCTGGTGATACTGCCTAGGGGATAGGTAAATATACGGGGGGCCAACTCAAGGTTACACAGGCCATGGTCATAAGACCAGAACTGAAGCCTATAGTAATTTTATAAGTAACTATATTAAAATTCAAAAATACCCCATGTTTAAAGCGAGAAATGGGCCGATAATCAATATGATCTATGAAAAAAAAATTAGCCCCCGAAAATGACAAAATCCGAAACTACACAAATATATAATTTTTGTCAAGGTTTCGCTTCTATATATTTCAAAAAACTTGATCGGCTATTTTAAATACCTCAAAAATATATAAAAGTTTATTAAATACTTGAAAATAATGCACAACGAAAGAAGAAAACACTATTTTTAAATGTTTTAAGCAAAAAAAAAAATTATTTTTTTATTGAAATCTCAAAAAAAAAAGTTTGTAATTTCTAACTTCCTATTGTCATGTAATAAATCATATAAAAATACGAAAGAAATTAACCAGTTGTCCAATTTGGATGAAAAAACTTCGTCTATATAAAGCTAATATGAACAAACTTAACTTCTGAGATCGGCTACTTTCTTATGTGTGCGTGTCGAAAAAAATAAAAAAAAGCGAAATTTTAATATGAAATTTCGTTTGTGTAACCAATTTATGAAGGCTTCAGTTCAATCGGTAATTGATCAGCCTGTGTAAC